GCGTGTGTGCGTTCAGCCGTGCCCCTCCGGGTGCATGCACATGTGCATCGCCACACACCCACCGAGCTCGGCGTGCGTTGCCTGCTCTGCGTGTAGCCATGGAAAGGTTTGCACTAATACGCTGCGTGCTCGAGCTGCAGCTGTTCCTGCTCTATGCCATGAGCGCTCCGAGAGAGCCGAGCAACTAGAGGTGCAGGCACCAGTCCAGCCTGGACGAGGTGCACGGAACACACCTGTTTGCTCCGACACGGGCATTTATCCACTGTCTTCACACACGGGAGTAGTGCTGCGTACTCCTTCCCACCCTCCCCTCTCACACATGTGGGCAGGTTGGTCTGTACCTCTGTGCTGACAGCGTGCATGAAGTCTGCTGGCGGGGGAGCTGTGGCATTCCTTGCTGAGCCATGTACACCGAGCAGTGTGCTCCCGACGCACACACGCAGGTCCCTGCACAGGCTTGCAGATCTGTATCTAAAAAGATTTATGTTCCCATAGTTATAAACATGCACATGCCCACTTCATCCACATCATTCATGCATGGTTCCACTGTGTACGGACACATACACGGACGGTGTCCAAGCAAACAAGTAAAGAACAGTGCCCACATCAAAAGCCTTTGCTCAGACGTGCCCTTGTTTATGTGTTTCTACCTGCTTATATTCAGGACTGATATTCACCTATAGTCTGCATGGATATCTGTGCACGCCCTGGAGACAAAACACTCTCCCATGTGCACATGCCTTCAGCTACTCCCACATGTCCCAGTCAGCAGCACAGTGCACATACATGTAGATGTTTGGCTGCAAATGTATACGTATATGCAAAGCACATGCACACCCACACTGAGGCAGGGACACAGTATTCAAAAATTCAGTTCACGGGCTGGCTGTACATGCTCCCTAAGCGAATGCAGACCCACATTTGCCAGGAATAGCACTTACATGCAGCTGCTTGCCCACAGCTGGGCAAATTCACAGCTTGCCTGTTCAGTAGGAGGGATGTGGCTTTTTGCATCAAAAGGATCACTAAGAGACAGGAGATTTTGACCGTAATCGTGATGCCAGTTTATGCCTTTACTGGGCCAACTTGTAGCTGCTGAGGGAAGAGCTCTCTTTCCACTCTGCCCCTTCCTTCAGGGCCCCTGGCACATTGGTTACTGTCTCTGCCTCAATTTCCTTGCCTTTATTAAAGAGGTAACACAGCTTCCTGAGTTTATGTCCTGTATTAAGTGAAACAGAAGTGTCTAAATCCCTCAAGAGATACCTGATGTCTGTATTATGAATATGAAATTCTATTACTTTGGAAATCTATGTACCTAGGAATGATTGTCTAGAGATAAACAAATGCTGGTACACACTCTTAATACACAATGAGCATAAGCATGTTGCAAAACCTCACGTACTTGTATAGAAATCCACAGGTGCAAGTGGACATTGCAAGCCTAGACACAGTGTTGTGAAAATGTCCACCTCTGCACACCTCTCTACCCTTTTTACAGTGATTAAAGCAATGCAATGAAGAATGGTAGTCCTCTAAGATGCGTTCTCAGGATTGCCGCTCAGACACTTCCCCCACCAGCACAAGTGCTGAGCCGTTTGCCCATGCACCAGAGCTGGGCCTGGGAAGTGTGCTGCCTCACATTTGCACATCCCTGCTCCACTGAGGAATCCCTGCACTTACACAGCCTCTGCATCCAGAGACGTGGTGCATGCCCAGGTGCCCCAGTGGTCCCACTGCCTCCACCCACACCTGAATGGAGAGTCTGGGCACCTGGGAACCCAGTCTCAGCCAACAACAAATGCCTCTTTCTGTGCTCCTGCATAAATTGTGCCCATACCCCAGTGTCTGAAACCCAGTCTCAGCCACTCACAAATGCCTCTTTCTGTGCTCCTGCATAAATTGTGCCCATACCCCAGTGTCTTGTCATAACCCTGTGGAGCAAAATCTGCACCCACAGTCACCTCCATGCAGACTTGGATGTGGTCACACACATGGACACACATTTGTGCATGTTTCACAGCCGTACTCTCGAGCTCCAGTGCTTTCATGTGTCTGCACAACACCCAGTGCCCCGTCAGGGGGTGTCCGGGTGGCTGAGCACAGACAGACAGACAGACAGACAGACAGACAGACAGACAGACAGACATGTATGCTCTCCTGACTGTCTGGAGGACACACAGACACCCTGCCTGTGCACACAGCCATGCAGACACATGAAAGCATGTCTGCACAAAACCCAGTGCCCAGTGAGGCAAGGGCTGGCTAGTAGAGGTAGTGCAGTGATGCAGCTTTCCAGCTTGACTTGGATGGATGTGGGAGGCGGTGTTGATAGGGAGACATGCTGCTGTGGGTGACTGCAAAGAGCAGCAGTTGTCACCGGCAGGGTCTCTATTCTCATGCAAAGCAGGGGATGAGGGTGGCACAGAGGCTGGGTATTCAGGCAGAAAACCCATATACCCCGCAGCACTGAATAGATTAAATATTTTTAGCATCCTCAGATTTCTGGTTTCCCTTCTTCAGTTTTGCTTTGGCTGTTGGGCTGTTTTTAGAGGGAATTCTCTTCGTGCTGAACTGACTAGAGGTGGGTCAGTGCTAGGGAGGATGGCTGCCAGTGTGCAAATCAGAGGGTCAGGAGAGAAAGATCTCTGGTCTGGCACACAGAGGGGAAGATGGACTCTCCTTCCCCATCTCTGGCTCTTGATTTGCATTGCTAAGAAGTCACGGTGATGCTGAGTGGCAGAAAATGAATTTTAACATGCCAAAGATCAAAGATTGAGGCCATAGGACAAAAGAAGTGTTATTTTTTCCTTTACTTCAATAATATGAAGAAATACCCAGGTGCACTGAGAAGCAGAGGTTGCACTGATATGTGTGCCAGTGCAGGGCACCTGCCGGGGGGGACTTGTGTAGTGAGGACCTCAGTGCATGACCAGCCAGTGCTGTGTGTGCAGTATGAGACCAGGAGCAAGTGTTCAGCTTGGCAAGGGGAAGAAGAGTAAGTCCTGCAAGAGAGGCTGCAGCTGCCCCACACATGCCTTGGTGGAACAGAAGGGACAATTTCTGCCTGCATGTGTGTGTGTGCTCCCACCTCGGGCAGGGCACTGTCCCAGTCGTGGGGGTTGGTGGCCAGGGGGGAAGCATGCATGGTGAGCTGTGTCCGTGCTGAGGGGTGCCCCAGCCTGGCGGGACTGCTCGGGTGCTGGCACACACCAAGAGGGAGTGTGGGGAGATGGCATTCGGGGTACCCAGGAGTCGGGGTAAGCCACAAAAGAGGAGGCAAAATACATGCTGAGACTCCTGCGCCATCCTGTCAGATGGCTTGGGACCCCCGGCAGGCCCGTGGGGCTCGTATGCGTGTTGAGGGGCAAGGCCTGTGCCAGGAACAGAAGGTCCGACCGAGGGCGGCGATGGGGAGGCTCTGCCCGCGGAGGGGTGTCCGCAGCACACACTGGGGCTCTGGTGCGGGGGGCACGTGAAGCGCCATGGCCGTGCGGCCTGGCCCGCACCCCACCCGCGCGGCCGGGACACACAGCATGACAAGGACTCTCGTATTTTGTCTTTCAGCCCATCCACTGGGAATATTTCTGTGGTGAAAGAGATTGTGGACAAACTGCTGAAGGGCTATGATGTACGCCTCAGGCCTGACTTTGGAGGTATGGCGACAACCGGTGGTGGGGAGCAGAGCCCAGGGGCCTTCGTGTACCCCTGCCGCCAGCCCGGCCACTTGCAGCACGCGCTGACCTTGTGCAACGCTCCCGTCTGATGTCTCCTACCCTCTGCTGCTTGCTAGCCCTCATCTCCTCCTTGCTTCATGTTTCTTTCTTGACTCCCAGTTTCCCTGCTCCTTCTCTTACTGGCTCCCCCCCCCCCCCCCTCACCCCATTCTCCCCTCCTGCCATCACCCATTTCTGCAGACAGATGAGTTGTCCATGGTGTGATGTATCGGAGGACATTTTGCTGGTACAGAGCCACTCTGCTTTAACTCTACTCCAAACTTTCCTCCACCACAGACAACAGGTCATCCCTTCTCTACTTCCACTCCCAGTGCCAGATAGTTTAGCTCTTTTCCCCACAGAGATTTGGAGTGATCATTGACAGGGCTGTTAGTCTGCCAGGCTGATCCGTCAGCAACAATATGGGATAAAATATTCCCTGGGGAGCTGGTGGCCTGGCCGCTACCCAGTAGGAGAGTCAAGGATCTGAAAATCCTCTCCTGTGTCCTGTGAGCAAAAAGGAGAATGGGAAGGGCTTCTTTTTGTTGTCCTGGCGTGGATGAAATACAAAATAATCCCTGGGTACTGCACCCAAGTACGGTACTGGGTACTCTACTCCAGGGTACAGCTGAGGTAGATTTGTTGGGGAAGAGCAGGCAGGGCAGAGTCACAACTGACTGCACAGGATTTAGAGGACTTCTGGCTTCAGCCTTCAGAGCTTGGCTGTTTTCAGTCTTTTCTGGGCAATGCTATTTCCTTCTCACGAGGAGATGTGTGGGATTGGAGGATCTTCAGCCTGCAGGAGGACAGGAACCACATTGAGATGTTCTTCTCGGTATGACTGCTGGGAAGCAGATTCATCCTTGTGCTCTCAAAGGGGAGGGATGCCAGGGCCACTTCCATGGTAATTCAGGGGAGGATTTTTCAGGGTCTGACCCACAGTTCCTTGAAGCTAGGAATGGAGAAACATTGCAAATGATTTAATCAGGTTTTGAAGTCATCCCCGTGTATTCTAGTTTCCCATAACCCTGTGAACGAATCTGTCTCTCCCTGAAGCCTCTGGTTTCCTTGCACCTCACCCAAATGTGTCCCCAACCACTCACCTCCCCTTAGCATTCAGCAGAGCCTGCCTTCCCTCCCTATGCACACCATCCTCACTGCCTCACCACCGTGCCCAAGGTGAATCAGGGGCTTTCAGGCGGCAGCACCAAGTGCTGCTGGGCCCCGGCCTCAGGGAGGGCCGCAGGGTGGAGGAGATGTTCAAGTCTCCATAGTGCTCAGGGATATCTAGGAGGTCACTTGCAGTGGGGAACCACTTTGGAGGACATGCAGTGCTGTTTAAGGAAAGGGTTTCTCCCTATCCCTTCTCTCCTTTGAATATGGGATGGGGCTCGATTTGATCTAACAGCTCTATCTGGGAAACATGAAGTGCCCCTGTTAGCTGACCAGACCAAATCACAGGAATTGATGCAGTCACATTTTATGAGGGGGAGAACTGCAGAGATGGCATAAAAACTGTAAGAAAACCATCTTGTAAGCCACTGAGATTATTATGCTACAGTAAAACAGTAGGTGATTTGGCTCTGTGGAGGCACAGAGCAGAGGGCTGCAAAGGGGAACCATAGGGCTGGAGGTCCAGCAGCCCAGGTCCATTTCACAGCCCATGTACTCTAATGCCAGGTCCCCAGGTCATCCAGCCACCCTCCCAGGACACAGACCACCCCTTCCCTCACCCTGGGCAAGGCAGCGCCAGGCTCAGTGCAGGCAGTGCTGCTGGCCCTGCCAGCTCTGTGCTGTGCACAGCCTGGGCTCACCCGGCGCCGCGTCCTTCTGGGCTGTAAAATGGATGGTTGGGGGCAACCATTGTGTTTGATTTTACTCCGAATTCCCAAAGCAGAAACTGCTTTTATCCTCACTCAAGCAAAGAAATAGGAAGGCAATGCTAACCCTCCTTGCTGCACTGAACTCACTGTTGCCTTTCATGCCTTCCTGTCCTTCCCTTTGCTTGTGAGTGCAAAGTCCTGGCTTGCAGCTCCAGTGACTGTGCCTTTGGTGCTCAGTGTGCAGGGATGCCGTAACTCCCGGCATGTCTGGCCCCCTCCTTCTCAGTATAAGCTTATCCGGACAAAATTACCCCTGTAGCATTTGTAGTTAAGGGAAGGCTGGGCTGAGAGGTGAATCTGAAATCCAGAGATCATTACAAGCCCAGGGAAAAGGTGTGGAAGTTTCCTTGCTCCACTGCTGTCCCCATAGTTTAGTAGTTCTTTTGGATTTTGGACCAAGTCTGTTGCTAGGAATAGTCCAGCTGGGATCAGGCCAGGATATTTCTAACACTTTGTGGCTTCTAGTTCATCCACAGCCCTGCTGTGGAGAGGGTGAAGCTCCCCATGATAAATGGTGTGCAGCTGGGAAAAGCACACTTTTTGGGCAAAGCCCTGGAACCTGTGTATATACAGACCTGCTACCTCTCAGAGACTTGTGGGACTGGACTGAATCCCAGTTCCAGCACCCTGAGGGCTGGGCTGTTCTCCAGGATACTGCCCCACAGTCCCCCTCGTGCTCCACCTCAACCATCCTTCTGCCCCTTGGGTGCCTTCCAGCCTGGCAAGATGGGTGTAAGTCATCTCTCCTGGAGGAAGCAGTCACTCTGCTCCCACTTGTGCTCCTGCCCTTGGAAGACCAGTCAGGGTGAGCTGTGAATGGCCAAGACAGCACCTTGGAGGGCTGTCAGGTCCTGCTCAGAGCCCTGTGCCCTGGGAGAGTGTCGTGGGGCTGTCTCAGGGCTGGCTCAGCGGTGACCGAGGGGTATGGCTGGGCAGGCCTAAAGGAGGAGTGGAGAGGACGGGAGCAAATCAGCTACCACTCAGTTGTCTATGAGCCAGACTGAGCTGCTCCAGAGAGCACCTCTACAAGCCAGAGCCCTTGGCCCTCTGCAGCAAAAAAAGGGCTTTGGGGGCAGCAAGGGCAGAACAGCTGGTGCTGAGCACCCCGGAGGTATGGGCAGAGAAAGGTCCTTCCCAGGGAGATTCCCGTGTGAGAAATGCAGCCAACGGAAGTGATAAACGAAGCCGACCTCCCTTCTCTGCTTCTCTCCCTGCTTGCTTGCCCCATATCTTCCTCCTACAGGAATGTTGTTCCCTTCTTGCCATCCTCTCCCCACAGCAGTGCCTGGCAGTAATCACCCCTGCACTGTCCCAGCCCACTCAGCCCTGCAGGCAGGGTACCACATCTGCATCCTGGGGTGCCTCCTCCATGCACCCACTTTTGCTGCCCAAAGAGCAGGAGGGAGCTGGGGACCTTTTGGTGCAGAGGCACTGGAAGAGCCTGTTCCTGTGTACCACTTGTCCTCCTTGCCATGGTGAGGCAGATCTTGCTCCTCATAACCTTCCTAAGAGAGCCAGTGCTTCCACAGCCCAGCAGCCCCAGGCTGCCCTCCTCATTCCAGCCCCAGGATGTGGTGCTTCAGCAGCTCCAAATGCAACTCACAGCTCCCCAGTCCTCTTTTTCTGAAAGAGAAAGAGAACTCCGGCTAATGCCAAAAGGAGGACAGGCCTGCTGGGGATTGCAGTTCACTTTTTAATTTTGAGATGCTTCGTTAGCTCTGGGCCAAGCTGAGTGGCTGAGAAGCATCAGCCACTCGCTCTCCTCCCCTCTTCCCCACCCTCTCGGAAACCCATTAGGCTGACGATCAGGTCAGGTCTCTGGGGTGGTACTCATCTGGGGAGCTGGGCTGAAGGGGGGGACACACAGGAGAAAAGGGAAAAGTTGGAGCCAGGCAGAGTTGATAGAAAAACCTGGGAGCAAGCTCTCTGGAAAGCTGTCCTGGCTCAGGGGGGAGCAGCCCAAGGCGGTCAAGCAGCAGGTGAGGTGAAGTGAGTGGGCTGGTGTGGAAGGGCCAGCAGGTTCCTCAGGCCCTGGGGCACAGGCAGTAAAGCCTTGCAGCCAGGGGAGCCCTGAACAGTTGTCTCTTACTTTTCAGCCACGGTTGCCTGAGCGCTGGAGTAGCACACTGTGCTGGAGAGGTGTGTGACAGTGGCAGGCTGGGACATGCAGGGACCACAAAGCCCAGTTTTTGTGGGCTGAGCAAGGAGATGGCCTGGGACTGAAAGGGCAGGGGGTCATTGCAAAATAGGTCTAATGGATTTGGCCAGGATTGTGGTGGGGATCTGGAACAGCCTTGGAGGAGGGATTGGCAGAGTAGGATGAAGATCTAGACAGGGCTCTGGGTCTGCTGAAGAGGGAGATCTCTGTCCTAGTACTGCAGGATCTGCATGGTGCAGTGAGGTCTTTTGGCAGGTATGGTAGGGAGCCTGGTCTGCTCTGGGCAGCAGGGAGATGTCTCCTAGGGAGATTGGATAGCAGGGGGGTGTGCAGCTGAGCCTGGCCTGGGGGATGGACAGTACGGGGACGATGTTCGGTGGGCAAATTGCAAGCACAATAATTACACCACAGCAAGGCTGGCAGGATGCTCTCTATTTAGGACTGGATGAGCAGGGGATGCTACACATCAGGTCTGGGAAGTGTTTCAGGGCCACAGGTGGGGTAGAGAGGGAGCTTTCAGAACAGCACCGTGGTTCTTGTAAGTGCTTTTAGGCACTCACTTTCAGAAGCATTAGTTCCACAGGAGGGAAAAAAAAAAAAAGAAAGGAAAAAAAAAAAAAAAAAAAAGCAAGCAAGTGAAGACTGTATTGCCCCAAGGCAGAGGAGGCAATGAAGGAATGGCAGGAGGATCCTGCTTGAGCTCAGTGACTCAGCTGCTCTCTGTTGGTGCAACGTTTTCAGCCCAAAACTTTGCAAGAGTTTCAAGCAGCTGACTCTGCTTCCCAGGAGAGGATGGAAAGGGGACTCTTTATGGGTTTCCCAGCATCATTTACAGACCTTGTTAGGCAAAAGAAAGGTGAGGGCATTCTCTGCTCTTTGGCCCCAGCCCACCTAGAGTG